GAGGCTCTGTGATGCATAAAATGAAAATTGGGGACGGAGAGATGTCTGATGGGTTAAGAGCACCTGTTGTGCAATCACAAGGACCAGCATTCAGATCTCAGCACCCATGTGAGAAGCCCAATCTGCGGGACCTGATGCCTGCTTCTGGCCTCTACATGCATACAGGCATGAGTCCCTACACACACACATGCACATATGCTCACACAGACACACAAAATAAATCTTAAAAAAAAATACTACTAGGGGGCTGGAAAGATGGCTCAGGGGTTAAGAGCACTGGTTGTTCTTACAGAGAACTTGGGTTTGGTTCCCAGCACCCACATCTGTAACTCCAGTTCCAGGGGACTCGACGCCCTCTTCTGGTCTCTTCAGGCATTACATGCATGGGTACACTTAATACATGCAGGCAAAACACTCATACACATAAAATAATTTAAAAATACTGCTAAATCGAATTTTTTTGTGTGATTTTTTTCTGGGAAGACATGAACAGATGTCCAGTTACTCCAGATAGGGCACCAAAGAGAGACCGAAGCAGTGATTGCACGCAAGTGCAACCTAGTAAACCAATGAGTTTATTGCTGTTACTTTCAGGAACACGAGTGAGGGGTTACTTACTGGAACATTGGTGACTTAAAGGCAGCCACATCTCTGAGACTCCCTCCCTATCCTGGGTGTTGACTTAAAAAAGCTGCAGGAGCCGGGCGTGGTGGCACACACCTGTAGTCCCAGCACTTGGGAGGCAGAGGCAGGCAGATCTCTGTGAGTTCAAGGCCAGCCTGGTCTACATAGTGAGTTCCAGGACAGCTGGGGCTACAGGGAGACCCCCTCCAAAAAGCTGCAGGAGCACTGGATATATTGCTCAGTTGTTAACAACACTTACTACTCTTGCAGAGGACCCAGGTATGGTTCCCAGCACCCACGTGGCAGCTTACAACTACCTGTAACCACAGTTCAGGGGCTCTGACTCCCCCTTCTGGCCTCTGTGGGCTCCTGCACACACATGGGGGACATAAACTCATGAACACACATACCATAAATAAAATAAATTTGAAAAGCTGCAGTCTGGCTAGAGAGATGGCACAGAGGTTAAGAACACTGGCTGTTCTTGTAGAAGATCTGGGATCAAATCCCAGCACCCACATGGCAGCTAACAACTGTCTGTAACTCCAGTTATAGGAATCTGACACCCTCTTCTGTCCTCTGCAGGCACTGCACAACATGGGTGCACTTAAATACACGCAGGCAATACATGCATGCACATTAAAAAAATAAAATATTTAAAAAACCTATAGTCCAGGAGTTTTCTGCAGAAATTGCAGGCACCTGGACACATTCAAGAGTTTCTTATCCCCAGAGATTTTTGCTGCTGATATAAGCCTGGGGAGGGGGAACCTCGTGAATCTTCTAATTTTCAGGAGTTTCCTGAGCCTTGCAAGTTTTGTTTACTTCTTGGGCCTTCTACGGTATATTCACTCCTTGAGTCTCTTTCTTTAATTAATTACAAATAACTTTAAAACTATGTGAATACAGGTGCCTCGGGCCAGCAACATTGATTCCCCCTAAAGCTCAAGTTACAGGTAGTTGTGAGCTGCCTGATGTGGGTGCTGGGAACTGAACTCCAGTCCTCTGCAAGAGTAGCAAGCACTCTTAACCACTGAGCAATCTCTCCAGCCCCTACCTCCTGAGTTTTTTTTTTTGTCTTTTTGAGACACAGTCTCCATGAAGCCCTAACTGGCCTGCAATTTGCTATATAGACCAGGCTGGCCTTGATCTCACAGAGATCTGCCTGCCTCTGCCTCATGAGGGCTTAAAAGCATCCTTTTTAATGTTGTTCTTCCTTTGAGTAAACTAAGATATTGGGGTCCCAGGTAAGTTGACTTCTTAATTGACACCTGCTAGATCTTTCCCTGGCTCCTGGCTGCTGAGGGACTGGTCTTCTGATAGGCTGGCTGCCTGAACATTTCACATACGTCTTGAAGAAGGTATACATGACCCTCAGCTACAGATTGGAGATGTGGCTCAGTTTGTATAGTGCTCATCTAGCATGCATGAAGCCCTGGGGTAGATCCCAAGCTCCCTATAAATGGAGCAAGGTATGGTGGAGCATGCCTGTAATCCTAGCACTCAGGAGGTAGAGGCAGAAGGCTCAGAAGTCCAAGGTCATCCTGGGCTACTCAGTGAGTTTGAGGCCAGTGGGCCCTTCATGAGACCTGCCTCAAAGAAACTGAAGTTTAAAAATTTTTTTAAAATTTATTTTGTATTTATTTGTTTATTTAATTATTTATTTTATTTTTTGAGACAGGGTCTTGCTGTAGCCCCAGCTGGCCTAGAACTTGCTATGCAGATCAGGCAGGCCTTAACCTCAGAGATCTCCCTGCCTCTGCCTCCTGGGTATGTGCCACTGTGACAGGGTATTATTATTTTTAAAATTCATTTTATGTGGAGCTGGAGAGATGGCTCAGTGGTTAAGAGCACTAATTGCTCTTGCAGAGGACCTTGTTTCTGTTCCCTGGACCCACATGATATCTAACAATCATCTTCAATTCGAGTTCCAGGGAATCTTATACTCTTCTGACCTCCATGGCATTGTACGACACGGGTGCACTCACATACATGCAGGCAATACACTCATATACATAAAACAAAAATAATAAAATATTTTTAAAAATTCATTTTATGCATATGAGTGGTTGCCTGCATGTATGTAATTGTGCCTGAGCATGCGACGCCCATGGAGGTCAGAAGAGTATCCGATTCCCTGGAACTCGAATTGCAGATGATTGTTAGTTATCATGTGGGTCCAGGGAACAGAACCAAGGTCCTCTGCAAGAGCAGCCAATGCTCTTAAACACTGAGCCATTTCTCCAGCCCATTTTTATTATTTTGAATTATGTGTATATTTGTGTGCCTGTGCAGGTGAGTGCAGCTGCCCTTGGAGACCAGAGGTGTCTGGGCAGTATACGCTTTAAGTGGTGAGCCATCTCTCCAGCCCTCAAAGAGACACTTTTGAGAGAAAAATATAGATGCCAAATGCCAGGAAATGAGTCGTGTGTGTGTGTGTGTGTGTCCTGGGGAAAATGCTGAATATATCATTTGGTGGCCAAAGCAGCTGAAAGGAAAGGAAGTCAGGGTGGAGGAAGGAAGCAGCCGTCAGATCAGGGCAGAGGGTCACAGGATTCTGCCTTGTCCACTGTGACTTCAGAAAACTACCCTGTGTCTGTCTGTGGGAGAACATGACTGATTGTACCTGCTTGCATTGGTGGTGGATATCCTGCTGTGGTGGGACAATAAGGTGTTCCAAGTTTGGACAAAGGTCTTTTGGGGGGATAGGGTCTCTCTGTAGCCCCCGTTGGTCTGGAACTTGCTATATAGTCGGGATTGACCTTGATCTCACAGAGATCCTCCTGCCTCTGCCTCCTGAGTGCTGGGATTACAGGCCTGTCACACCATGTCTGGCCTAGATTGCCCTTGAACTCAAGAGCCTTCTTCCTCAGGCTCCCTAGAGCTGGGATTACAGGCATGCACCCCCACCGGGCCCTCTCCTCTTTGCTTTTATTTCTCTGGGAACACAAGATCTTTCTTTGCTCCGTGTATCACACCATTTCAGACACTGCTCCTGCACCTCCCACAACCTTATTCCCTTCTAACAGACAGGCGGCTGGGTTTGGTTGTGCATAGGAGTATCCCCTGCTACTTGGGAGGCTGAGGCAGGAGGATGGTCATCTCGGGTAAAGTGAGTTCAGGGCTAGCTTGGGTAACTTAGTGAGACATCAAAACAAACAAAACATAATATCTATCTGGGTATAGAGATCTATGATATAGAGTGCTTGCTTAGCATGTGGGAACCGCTGGGCTCAGTCCCCAGTAGCAAGAAAGGAGAATGGTCAGGACATCTGCAAACAATTAGGGACTACTGGGCTGGAGAGATGACTCAGAGGTTGAAGGAGGTACTGCTCCTCCAGAGGACCTGAGTTTGATTCCTTAGTACCCATGTGGGGCAGCTCACAGCAGCCTGTAACTCCAGCATTGCACTCTCATGCACAATTCCCCATTGCAATATGTACACATAATTAAAACTAATAATGGGGCTGGAGAGATGGCTCAGTAGTTAAGAGCCCTGGTTGCTCTTGCAGAGGACCTGCATTCAGTTCCCAGCACCTACATGGTGGCTAACAACTGTAACTCCACTTCCAGGGGATCCAACACCCTCCTTTGGCTTCCGCTTCAGTGGGCACTTACTGACGTGGTATACTTATATAAATGTAGGCAAAACACTCATACACATAAAACACAAATAAACAAAAAAGATGCATACAAACTGGGCATGGTGACTCAGGCCTATAATCCCAGTAGAGGCAGGCAGATCTCTGTGAGTAGAAGGCCAGCCTGGTCTACGTAGGGAGTTCCAAGCCAGCTAGGGCTACATAGTGAGACCCTGTCGCAAAACAATAAAAATAATAATTAAAAAAAGAAAAACAAAACAGAGACTATTGCTTCTTTTTAGGACTCTTCAAAGAACTGACCAGTTAAAGTGAGGGCACCTGCTGTCTAGCCAGCAGTTCCAGTTCCAGATCCTAGAAAGTACTAGAACACATTTAAGTCCTCAGCATCCTGCACGGTGCCTGCCCACAGTCCTGGGTGTGGGATCGAGTGGGTGGGTGAGCAGATGGATTAACAAATGGGGTGACTGGACACGCAAAGCCTGGGTGAGTGGACAGGAGGGGGCAGGCAGTTGAATGGGGAACAGAGTGAGTCCCAGCCTCGCCCAGAGCAAGCGGGTGAGTGACAGCGACCCTGGGGATGAGATGACTCCCAGGTAAGTGACAGCGACCTCGGGGCGGTGGCGATTCTCGGTAGCAGCTTGGACACTGGCTGCGAAAGCACAGACCAGGCCGGAGCCACGTGGCTGGGGGCGTGGCCCACGAGGAAGGAGGCGTGGCCTCGCCGTGAGTGGGCGCGGCGAGGTCGGGGTGGGCGTGGCCAGGCCGGACAAGAGCTGGCGTGGGCGGGGCGGGCCGGCGGGCGCGGGAGGAAGTCACGTGGGCGCGCGGGCTCACATGACTGGCCGCGCTATGGACCCGCTGCCCTCGCCGGCAGTCGCGGCGGCAGCAGAGACAGAGGCAGAGGAGGAGGCGGATCCCCCGGCCACAGGTAGGGCGCGGGGTGGACCGGGCACGTGGCACGGTGGCCCTCCGTAGACAGGGGGTCCACACGGATACTCGGGTCACTTCCTGCCTTCCTGCTCCCTGCATCCCTTCCCACCCTGCACGGCCAGGCGCATCGCACCCGGGTACCACCTGGCCCTCCTGAGAGCATCCTAGGGGACAGTCCAGTCCTCGCGTCAGTGCGTGGTTGCACCTGGACCTTTATTTTCTGATCCCACCTTGGAAGACGCTCAGCTGGAGAGTGGTGTGTGTTAATGTGTGATGATCACGAGCCGTGAGACAGATGCACTTGTGGTGTAAGAGTGCTTTCCTGTGGCCCTCGGGCTGGGGAGACTGGAGACGCACCCCGGTGGCCCGAGGTGTCAGGGTTGGGACAGGGCCTCGTGGGTTCCGGCCAGGGCTGGCCAGTTGTCCCTGAGGATGACCATCTAGAGCACTAAGGGACAGGTTCTTCTCTAGGAAGGGCTAGAGTAGTGACAACGAACCCCCGGGGAGGGAGGGCATGAGTGAATGCCTTTGATTGACAGAAAGACCCGTCTAGGCGGAAGTCCCCCCAGAATTGGCCTATAGTCTTTTTTTTCCTCTCTCACTTGGAGTTTGTAAGTTTGTGCAGGAGCCCTGTTCAGTGGGACATTGGGCCCATGAAGTTTGGACTCCATCATGTATGTGTATGTACCAGGGCCCCTTGCTGGACTTCTTCCCAGGGTTACTTGGGAATAGGACTGTGTTTGGATCAGAAAGCTACTTCTGTTTGGCCCTTTTTTCTTTGGATTTTTGAGACGGTCTCTGAAGACCCAGCTGACCTGGAACTCGCTATGTAGACCAGGCTGGCCTGGATCTCACAGAGATCAACTTGCCTCTGTCTCCTGGGTGCTCCAGTTAAAGGCGTGGGCCACCATGCTTGGCTCTTTTTTTTTTTTTTTTTTTAAGAGAGATTTATTTTATTTATTGAATCCCCTGGAGCTGGAGTTACAAGCCGAGTGTGAGCTGCCGGATATGGGTGCTGGGATCTGAACTCCTGTCCTCTGCAGGAGCAGCCCTCTGCCTGACTCTTAAATTAGTTCCTAGTGGTTTGAGGCAATGGTGATGGACAGGAGATCTCTTGCAAATACAGGGTACCCCATACCGATTTCTGCAGAACTCATCTAATGGCCCCCACTAGCAGTGGTTTTGCCTGGGGGTGTGGTGTGATGGGAGGTAGCTTTTTTGTTTGTTTTTGAGACATAACTCCAGTTCCAGGGGATCTGACACTGTATATAGCTCTGACTGGCCTGGAACGCACAGAGATCCACCTGCCTCTGCCTTGCTAGTTCTGGGAATACAGAGATGCACCACTCTGCCTGGCCTAGATGTGCTTTTCTTATCTGCAGCCAAGCAGTTCTTCAGTATTTATAGGCCTCACAGTTATATGAGTCTAAAAACAGGGCTTCAGGCAGGGCATGTCCATTCATTCCTGTGAAACCTGGCACCTAATCTGGTCAGGTGGTAAAGGAAATGTTTCTTGCCTGTTGGGAAGTAGCTTACCCAAAGTGTGTCTTCATGACTTTGACTAGATGGGCTGAGGTCAGAAAACCTAAATCTTTGAGAATGAGTTTTTTAAAACAAAATAGTGTTGTGTATGTGGAGGTCAGATGACAACATAATGGAGTCATTTTTCTCTTCCCACCTTTATGTGGGTTCTGGGGTTGGAACTCAGTTCATCCGGCCAGTGCCTTTGCTGGTAGAGCTGTCAGGCTCACTCAGATTTGAGGCCACAGACAGTAAGCCGCACAGATTTGCAGTTGGATTTTGACGGCCATCCGTCCTTCCTCTTCAGCGTTTGCTTGTGGGCATATACCCTCACAGTTGGCTGAGTTTGGGCATCTGAAACAACAAACTAGTGTAGCAAATACTTTCTTCTCTGCCTTTGTCTATACCTCAGAGCCGCCGGTCCTTTTCATGTCAGGATTGTGATGTCTCTGTGCTTGTAGTGCTTTTGGGATTGCCAGAAAAAAATTGTGTTCATTTTAGTTTTCAGCACTGAGTCTGATTATTATTTATTTGAGGCTTAAGTTGTGTGTGCTTTATAGGAGAACACCCACAGTGCGTGTGCACGTTTTCTTTTTCTTTTCTTTTCTTTTTTTTCAATTAGAAGAAGCATTTCATTACAACAGCATTAACCTATTCAATAACATTTTTCTGAGCCAGGGTACATCTCTTTCAAAATTGGCTGTACATTTCTAGGTTTACAGATGAATTATTATGCTTATATAATCTTTTACTCATTATAAACTCTATAAGACATAAAATTAAACGAGATTCCAACGTTTAAAAAAGATCTCCATTTCATTTTAGAATATATTGTCCCTTGAAGAAAGACTCATTGTTTTTGCCACTAACAGAGATGCTGGCTCATGCATCTCTAATCTGTATGTATCTGATTATTACTAGTCATAATCGATTGTACTTGGA